GGAAACTGCTGATCTAGACAGAAATAGGAACACTTTGCTGATGAGCTTACAGTGGACGCATAGACTTGTGGGGTATCCAGTAATGAAGAAAGTGAGTTACTCATAGATCTGTATTGCCTAGTTAACTGGCCACAATCAAACAAACTGTTTTAATACAACCACATGCAAAGTGACTTATTTGGGAGCCAAGAATGCCAATTAGGTTTCCAGGGTAGGAGATTGTGTGTGGCAAAGCAGAAGCTCAGTGGAATTTTGTGGTGGTGTCTTTGTAGTCTGTCCTCTTAACTTGAACTGTCAGTGCAGTTGGAAAAGGGTTTATTTGGTGAATTAATGTATAAAGAAAAGTGTCAAGTAGAACTACAGAAGTGGTTTTGTCTCTGTTGTAGTGTTAATAAGAGTATCACTAGAAAACAGTGTTCAGTTGGGAACACTGAAGCAAGTCCACAGGCAGGTTGCATAAATTTTCCAGAAGCTGGAAACCAGACCATGAGGCTTCAGTTGTTTAAGTTACTCAGCTTATCAAGGAAAAGACTGAAGAATAGGTTGATCATGGTGTATAGATCATTAGGCATAGAAAATGTAATAGGGGAGCTTTTCAGCTTTGTTGCCAAAGACGCATCAGGTTCCAGTGAGTGGAAATTAGAGGCAAACAAATTCCATCTTGAAATGGAACATAGTTGTGAGGGTTACTAAACTCTCAAAGGGGACATGGTAAGCTCACCTTTGTATGGTGAGTTTAAAATAAAATTGGAGAGATTTCTTTAAAAATGTGGTTTAATCCAGAATCTGGGAGAAATTCTGTGGCCTGTGTGTGAGGCTGAGAGGAGGGATGTGTTCAGGTTGGGAGTTTGTGACAGTCTACTCGGGGAAGGACAGGACTGCTATCAATATGCTCATACCATTTGCCACTCTGTTTTTGGATTTTTTTGCCTTTCTCTACCTTATGGGCCTTGTTCATTTGCTGGATTTCCTTGGCTTGCTTCAGGTAATTCATTTCTTCAAGTTAAATTCCACCAATTTTCTGGGTGTTAGTAAATTTGGTCACTTCTGTTCTTTGCCAGAACACACAGTTTAATTTTATGAAGACTGAAATAATGTAGTTTAACTAAAGTTTTGGGGCTTATTATTAGAATACCCAAATGAAACTTTTCAGCCTGTCATAGCAGGTTAAACTAGATGATCTCTTGTAGCCTTAAAATCTTGAGAACTTTTCCAGAGGCAGCTTTCCTATTACTCTTGACACTACACTATGTCATATGCCTGTTTTTGTATGGGATAATTTTTCCAAATGTGCCTTTTTACTGCATAATATTAGCTATGTTCTGTTAGTATACATACTTAACATTTAAACATTACTTAAACACATTTTCAAAGATGTATAAGTTTTAATTTGAAATTATATACAAAACATTTGACTGTAAAAGGAAAAGTGGTTTTACAATATACTTATTTTTAATAAAGAAAAAATCCATTTTAGATGTAGTATTATAATAATTTTTCATTTATATGCAAATAGAGTATTCATCCTAGACATGGAATGAGGAGGCTATATTCCATTCCAGTTACTGGTTTATATTCCATTTCAGCATAGGTCATGTTTTTAACCAGGGACGATGTATTAAAAAAGTCTTGCAATGGGTAAAAATTATTCCCACTTAAGTAAGTTATGTTTGGCTGTTTTATTTGGCATGTATTATCGCATGTAATGTTGATTCTATAATAAAAAGGTGATTTTCCCCCCTCTAAAAGAATGGGTCTGTAATTGTGTGAACAAAACAGCAAGTATAAATTACTGTAGTTCTGTGGACAAAATGTGTATTTCAGAGATTTTCAACCAGGATATTGTGGCACCCTGGAGTGCCTGGAGATCCTTTCACTGGTGCTGTAGGGTGCTATGCAATATCAGCACTAATTGGTTGTACACACAATTCACAGAATAAACACAGAGATTTCAAATAGGAATCCATAGTGTTAAATGCATTCTAACCTGTTGTGGGCTTTTTGAGTTTTTTGCAAATGAAAAGTTGCTGTGTTACTTTCCTGTAGTCCAAAAGCAAGTAAAAATGTAAGAGCTAGCATTTTCTGAGGAGTGCCTCAAGTCCAAAGAGGTTGAGACCACTGGTATATTTTTATGTTCAGCTATCCAGTCAGATGTATTATTAATTACTTTTAGGCACAAAATGCATGTATTTATGTGTCTAGTTTTTCCTTTTTTAAAGACGTGTTTACATTTGGCTGTAGCAGGCTCACCTTTCAGAGCTTGGGTTGAGTCCCAGGCTTGAGATCCTGCTGTCTTGATTAGTGGTGCTAATCCACCGATCAGGAGGCAGCAGGAGAAATAGTCACACTCCTTTCCTGAAGGGAGGGGGAGAAGAGCTCCCCTGGACCTGATTGAAGACTGTAAACTGTCAGGTCTGGAAGACTTCAGGGGTGGAGCCCTGGAGCGTATAAAAGGAGCTGCGTGCCCAGCATAAGGAGCAGATGCAGGGAGGGACTTGAGAAGAGTGGAGCCAAGAAAAGCTGGGGAGCTCTCCCCCAGCGGGCAGTAGGCCCAAGGCTCCTGAAGCTGCCACTGGAGGAACAGTCTTGGGAGTTGTGCAAGACCGCTCAGGCTGTTGACAGTGCACAGGGATGGTGCACAGAGACCTGGCCCTGGGAACGGTATAAGACTGCTCGGGCCCATCACGGAGCACAGAACCCAGGCTTTGGGAGCCACAAGTGGCGGCCCAAGTCTGCAACCCCGGCCTTGGGGGGTCGCAGCGAGGAGGCTCAGGCCCCATATCCCAGCAGGCGACCAGGCCCCACAGTGCGCAGGGCGGTGCACGGACCCAAGACTTGGGAGCCAGGGAGCAGCAGAGGCTGCTTGGGTTAGCCACCCAGTATGAGGATGGACAGACAGATCCTGAAGGGCCCTGCCTGTGCTATAAGAGCCCTTGGTGCTGAAGCCAGTGTACAGGGAAATAGTGCGGCAGCATGAGGCCCTGCACCCAGAAGCCAGCAGCAGTGGTGCAGAAGCTGAGAGGAGCTGAGCCCTCAGTGCCCAGAGTGGGGTACAGGGTGGGGAAGAGCCCAGTGGTGCAGGAGAGGCCTGGAGAGGTGCTCCAGCTCGGAGGAGACCCCATCGAGCTGTGTCCTGACCACCGCTACCTGAGGGAGCGCAAGTTCTTGGGCCCTTGGGATACTCCCTGAAAAAGTCCACAGTCTTTTATAAGTGGCCCTATCATTTGAGGATTCCACCACCTCTCTGAGGACCTGCCATAGAGTAGAGGCCCAAGCTGGAAAAGGTAGTGCTCCCCCTGACTCTGAGACTCCTGGGGCACTAGTGCCCCCTGAAGCCTGGGAACCACTACGGTTCAACATATCTCTAGGGTGGGACCTCTGTAGAGAAGCACAGCACCTATAGCAGCAAATCACCTGCCCTGAACCCTGGACAAGCCCCCAAAATGTAACCCGGGTACACCCAAGGGTGTGCTGTGAGAGGGATGCCAGAATTTCGAGCAGATCCCTCTTTCCTCCATAGAGTTAGCCCTAACCCAAAGTTCTTAACTATATAACTCAACAAATTGTATAATATACATAAACATAAAACTAAATATTATAAACATATAAACATACAGTGAACATTAACCAACAACCAAGGTCAAACCCTAAATAACTCTAATCATGATACCACATTTCAATCACAAAATATAAGGCACAAACATGTACATTTTTAATAACATCTATTCCTTAATATAGTCTCTGACCCATGGCAAGAGATAATCCTTTTTCCAATGGGGTCCCTTGCGGGGGGTGTCCAGGAAGCACCAGGGGCCTCTCCCTTTAGGGCCTTGACTAGGTGGGGGAGCTGCTCACCCAGCCCCTTCTCTGGGTTTTCCTGCCCCAAATGTCTTTCTCCTGTGGGACCCAAGGGCCAAATGATTCTCACTCCTTCAGGTGGCAGTGGTCAGGGCACAGCTTGATGTGGTCTCCTCTGCTGGAGCACCTGTCCTGCACCGCTGGGCTCCTCCCCACCCTGTGCCCCGCTCTGGGCACCAAGGGTTCAGCTCCTCAGCTGCTGCACCCCCACTGCTGGCTTCTGGGCCTCACGCTGCAGCACTATTATTTCTCCGTGCCCTGGCTTCAGCACCAAGAGCTCTTTTAGCACAGGCTGGGCCCTTCAGGCTCCATCCGTACATCCTCACACTGGGTGGCTAACCCAAACAACCTCTGCTGCTCCCCAGCTCCCAAGTCTTGGGTCTGTGTGCCTCCCTGCACACCGTGGGGCCTGGTCGCTTGTCGGAAGATGAGGCCTGAGCCACCTCACTGCGGCCCCCAAGGCCCTGCAGACTCAAGCTGCTGCATGCGGCTCCCAAAGCCTGGGCTCCATGCACTGAACCATGCACCGTTATGGGCCCAAGCAGTCTCACACCGCTCCTAGGGCCGGGTCTCAGTGCACTGTCCCTGTTCGCCATCAACAGCCGAGTGGTCTCGCACAACTTCCAAGGCTGCTCCTCCAGTGGCAGCTTCAGGAGCCTTGGGCCTATTGCCCGCTGGGGGAGGGCTCCCCAGCTTTTCTTGGTTCCGCTCTTTTTGAGTCCCTCCCTGCATCTGCCCCTCGTGCTGGGCACACAACTCCTTTTATATGCTCCAGGGCTCCACCCCTGAAGTCTTCCGGACCTGACAGTTTACAGTCTTCAATCAGGAGCTCTTCTCCCCCTCAGGAAAGGGGCATGATGTTATTTCTCCTGCTGGCTCCTGATTGGTGGATGGGCTCCACTAATCAAAACAGCAGGATCTCAAGCCTGGGACTCAACCCAAGCTCTGAAAGGTGAGCCTGCTACATGGCATTAAAAATAACCCTAAGTAAGTTACTGTTATAAAGAAATTAAATGCAAAATAAGCCAGTTCTGGTAGCTAAATTGCTTTACCATAACTAGCCCAAAATTGCCCCTCCTGTTCTATAGAAAACTATTTAAACATGCACTGTGAATTTGGTAATGAGCAACGATAGATGAAAATAGACATTCAAAATGAATGGAAGATAATGGAAAATAAAGTGAAGCATTTGAAAGTTTTAGCTCCACATTTTCCATTTCAATTTGCTTTTGGCACTATAAGAGAGAGTCATATTAGGCGGGTAAAGGATTGAAACAAATTTGATTTGTATATGGCAGTAAATCATGTTGTCCTAACTGCTCCCAGCTTCTGTTCTTATGTTTTCTTCTTTCTTTATTCCTTTTGTTTTCCATTTTTCCAGTTCTTCTGATGTGTTCATATCTTCTTTGCTTTTCTCTCTCTACCCCCAGCCTTATAGTCAATTGTTTTGTACTTTCTCCCCACTCTTCCTCCGTATCAGTCACTTTTTTCACCTTTCTTCTTCTAAGGTATGTTGGGACTGTCTCATTTGCTCAGATATATCATATATCATTAAAAGTAGTACACTTTTTTGAAACCACGTAACTTACCAACATACGGTAGCAAGAGAAGGATATCCCTGGTAAATCATATCTCTGGTAATTCTCAACTTCGAATAGAAAGAAGGGTTAACAGGAGAGTTAGAGGTAAGAAGCAATTAATATTGATTTCAGCTGTCTTATTTTGTTTTAGATTGTGACTTGAAATTTTGGAGAATACACAGCAATTCTGGCATGGAACTGTACAATGTCTCATAGTTCTTTAGCTGAATACTGCCCCGTCAAGGAAGCAAGCAAGCTAGATCCAAGTGACGGCTGTAAAAATGCATGACCAAAATCAAGATTCAATGCAATTGAAAAAAGAAATCTCCTTGCTCAATGGGATCAGCCTCATAGTAGGCAATATGATTGGTTCAGGTATTTTTGTCTCTCCGAAAGGAGTTCTTATCTACAGTGCATCCTATGGGTTGTCACTGATCATTTGGGCAATTGGAGGAATTTTTTCAGTGTTTGGAGCTCTCTGCTATGCTGAACTTGGAACCACTATCACCAAGTCAGGAGCCAGCTATGCATATATCTTGGAGGCATTTGGCAGCTTCATTGCATTTATTCGCTTGTGGACTTCACTACTGATCATTGAGCCAACGAGTCAGGCAATTATTGCTATCACCTTTGCTAACTACATAGTGCAGCCTGTTTTCCCTTCTTGTGAGCCTCCTTATTTCGCTTGTCGTCTCATTGCAGCTGCTTGTGTGTGTAAGTATTGTTTAGAAATGGTGGTAATTTTGTTGACTTTTAACATACAAATTACTCCTATTAGATCTCAGAACTGTTGCTCTCTGCATCTACAGCACTTTGTGTTACAATAGGGATAGAAAGTGGTTTCTAGCTCATAAGCAGCACGGTTTAGATGTTTACATCTTCCTTATTTATGAGACCAAAAGGTAAGCCCTCTCTTTACTTAAAGTCTTGTCTGCATTGAAAAATAACTTAGATGAGTTATTTCTCAACTCTTAGATTAAGCTGAACCTACAAGTTATTGTGCAATAGCTAATGTACTTAAAATGACTGCTCATAATTTATTTCACAGTAATTTTCCCATGTAGACAACTATACTCTAGTTCAGCCTCTGATTCTTCTTGGAGGAATGTTTAGTCTTTTTGTATAAGCTAGAAAGTTATAACATTCACTTGCTAATGGAAGGCAGAATTAAGCAGTTCTGACAAGACAGAACATGCCATTGAGAACAGATTCAAGAATTGAGGGGAGGTTTTTTGCTGTCAGCATAATGATCAGGGGAATTGGGCTAACACCCAGTTTTTGTGTCTTGGATGCATAAGGACTGTTTGAAAGGCTTCATTTTCAGTGTCTCAAGTTATGCAGCTGCTTTGGCTGAAAAGTAGCAAAGATATGAATATACTTGCTGGATGACAACTATCCCTTCCAGAGCAGCCTGGGTTTATGTTAAGAACATGGTATGCTTCAGTGTGTTTATACCCAAATCTGCTTAGCTTCTAAGTAGCTATGAAATCACATAAGCTGAACTGTAGAACTTGGAGGAATCAACTTTTCTGTTTCATGGGAAATTCTGGAGTTTTAAAAAATTGCTTTTGAACTGGAAGAAATTTGCAATGTTTCCACCAAAAATAGCTTTAACTGCTCTAAAACACGTTTTCATTCTGATTTCAACTCCTTATACTTAGTTCTAATTTAAGGTCTGAGATGGAATACTTCATCTGATTCATAATGAAACTTTTTGAAACACAACATTTTGGTTATTTCAACTGTCTGAAGACTTTTTTTCAATTTTTAATCAAGCTTTGTCCAGGTTGACACGTTCCCACAGGAGGTTCTGTTTTAAAAGAATAGTGTTATTTCAACAAAGTAATTTCTTTGGATAATTTCAGTTGGCTCTTGCAAGGGGGTGTAGCTGCAGTCTGAGAGGCTTTTTTTGAATACCTTTCAGGATCCTCTCTGTGAGAGTGTGGAGGCATTGTCATACAGTTCTAAACAATACAAACTAGCAAATTGACAAATTAGAGGGAGACATGAATAGAATATTTAATTTCTGATTTCAAGAAAGCTTGTTCAAAGTACTAGCCTATCTCTGTATGGCAACGTGGGAACTCCCTGACCAGCCACAGTGCTAGTCTCCCACCTACCTTTGGGCACACCACCCACCTCTCTCACTTGCCATGCCTTGTTAAATAACTAGGGTCTTAATTAGGCAGGAGGCTGCCCTTTGAATGCCCTGTTCTCCTGGGCCTATGCATGTACTTCCAGCCATCCCTGTACTGCTTCCCAAGTCTTGCAGATGTTTCTAACAGCTGTGCTCTGCTCCGGCCTAAGGCTGGGCCCAACTCAGCATAGCGTTAGGCCTCTTGCATTCTGCCCTATTATAGGCTACACTTGTACCACCGCTCACTGCGGCCTCTCTCACTCCACCACCTCTCACACGGTCTCTCTCATACTGCCCCTTGCGGGGCCACACTTGTCCCGCCCCTCCTTTTCCCCAGGGCCTGACTCACCCTGCCCTCACCTGGAGGGTCCTTGGGCTTACTTCCCTGCACTCCCTGGCCAGCAAGCGCGTGGCCTCTTGGGCACCTCCCACTGCCCACATCCAAGCAAGCACTGGGCGGTTTGCCAAACACTGGTCTGACTCTGCCTCTGGTCTCTTGCCGGGTCACTCACCCAGCTGCTCTCAGTCAGGGGCTCCTGACTCACCCTGTTGTTTACTTGTGGCTCTTCCTTAGCCACCTCACCCAATCAGCCTCCAGCCCGTCTGTGGCCTCAGGCACCTGAAGGCTTATCTGAATGTAACTCAGCCCCCATGTTAGCAGGACCTACCCTCAAGCCCCCTGCTCACTATACGCCCCTTCTTCACAGAGACTCACTACTACCCCTCTCTACTCTCTCCAGGCCTCCCAACTGCCGCTCTTGTGCAGGCTGTTGGGTGCCCCCTGCACCCCATGCTGCACCTTCACCTTCACTGAGGCACATACTCTGCCCCCTTCTCTGGGGTCTGGGGGTTGAACACCCCCTGTAGGCTCAGGTGCCACTCATTGGTGTGCATGGCCCACCATTCTCGCTCTCCGGGGTCTTGCACCCCTTACGGGCTCAGGTGCCACACTGCCCTCTACTGCCTCTGGTGTTAAATAACCCCAGCCCCTGCCTTTGGGTGGGCTAAGGCACCTCTCCTCACCTTTCACTGGGGAGGTAACTAGCCTGGCATTTCCTGCAGACTCCCCCATGACAGGGGGTCCCACCAGGCCACCCTTCAGCAGGGTGCAGTTTCAAGTCATGCCTAGGACCAAAAGGTATCCTCCTTCCCTATAGCCTTTCCGTCAACTCCAACTTGTTGCAGGAGCAGCAGCTTCACCAGGAGATGGTCCTTCCATGGCATCGGGTAGCAAACTGCAGCCTCCTGTTCTGCTGACCTGGATCTAAAATGGCCGCTCATCAGAGCTGGGGCAACACCTGCCCCCAGCTCTTAACGTGGCAGACACCTGATGTGTTCTACCACCCACCTTCCCCCTTAAACTGGTTCCTGGGAGAGGCTTTTCCCTGCTGCTCTGCAAGCAAGCTGCCACGCAGCTTGTAACAGCCCCAGCATGGTGAGCACTGCACTGGTGCTCTGCCACACTCTGGTTATTTTAAAGAAGAAAACTTAGTCAAAAACTGAACATGCCAGACCCCTTCCATTGCTAAGCTGTGTGCTGTAATCTGTTCACTGAAGTTACTTTGCAAAATGTCATAATATGAACATATTCATGATTATTCACATATATCAAGATAGTATAAGAAATGACAGTCAGCATAAAGAACTCTGTCACTGTACAAGTGGTTTATTACAGTGGCCAGTCATAGTAGAAGTTAGATGTAAGGCCATTCCTTTTCTCAAGAGTTCCTTGGAAGCTTGTTCAGTCCTAGCTTTTGAAATATGATGCTTCTGTTTTTCACGTGGTCATGCGAAGTTCTATGAAATCTTGTTCGGCTGTTTCTATTTGCTAGCTTTTACAGGTCACAAGTGTCATGCTGATATGAGATCATCACTCTTGTTTACTTTGTGAATTGTTAACTTTTTTGCGGGGCCCCTGGACTAAGTAAGGTTCTAGGTAAAGCAGCCCCCAGCACCTGCTGCTGCTGGCCACAGGGCCCAGGTTTCTTGCAGCAGGCACTGGGCAGACTCTGAGCAGCCCAGGCTTCATGGCAGGCAGCAGCTGCCCAGAGCCCAGGCTGGATGTGACAGGTAGCCAGGAGGCTGCAACCAGTGCCCTG